AAATTAAAAATGCTTTAAAATATAAATATTTTGTTTTATATGCTACAGGAAACCTTTAAAAAGGTGACTACTCTTTCTATGTTGATCACTTCTGTTTAAAGCTGATTCTAGATATTATTACGAATTTTGTGTAATTAATGCTTAACCCTTAACTTCGCACTGTTGCATTTCTGCAACATATGATTTATTTTAATTTAACAGACTCAATATTTTTAATTACCTACAAATCACTTATCTGAGAAAAAAAGATTACTGCAACGAAATACATGCTAATTTTATCACAAGTACATTTTTTTCCAGAAATCACAACAATTATAAAAATCTCTGATGCCTCAAGAACTGTGTTTTTGCTATAAAAAGAATCCATTATATTTTATGCTTCCTCTTGTTTATTGACGAAATAAATTACCTGGTCAGAAATTTTAAAATTTTTATGATGATAGAAAAAACCCATAAAAAAAAGTTTTGTAATTTACAGCATATTGGAATTTTAAACCCCTTTTGTAACAAAAAAAAAAAATAACTAAAATTAATTTTAAAAACTGCTTAATTTTTTTTATTACTTGAGAACTAGTGATAGAATTTTTTCATAGAAATTTAAAAATTAAGTTAAGGGTTAAGATTGAAATATAATTTTTATCTGTATGTTTAACATATTAATATAAATTTATGTTATATTTATTTTATGATAAAAATTGTAGTAATTGCTAGCAACGCCGCCCTTTACATTATAATGACGTTTCAATTGAAACTTGGTGAAATATTGGCGATGCAACTAAGTTGGTATCATTTAAATGTCCACTTCGGAGGATTTGCAACCCTTTTTGGTGACTTGGCTATCATACAAATGCTTCTGGAAATTACTGAAGAAATCCATTAACATCACAATCTATGACGTAAGTGAATCTTTCTAGAAAGAGCTAAAAGGAAGCCGTGCAGACTGTAAATAGCAGTCACTCGCTGAAACTGAGTTAGTATTGTTTGAGCTGTTCAAGAGTTTACTAGAGGGAATATTGTTTTTAATTCTGTATTTTTTAGACACCTAGTTGTGCAAGCGCTGTAGAATGGGAAAACCTTCTGGGTTTAAATTTAAAGGGAATTTTTTGCGGTCCTGTATTTTTAAGGATTGTTTTTAAATAATAAATTTTTATCGCTCCTAAAGAACTGTCTTGCTCTTTGTGAGACTGATAGCATAAAATCCTCGAAACCGATCTACGTAACAATATCTTTTCGAAGAGTGTTAGCACTGCGGAGTACCTTTTCTACAAGATATCTTTAGTCGTGTATCTAAAAAATGAGGTCCATCTTCATTAACTTTCGTATTGCTCTAGAGTTCGACAGTAAATAAGTAATTTATAGATCGATTCTTGGTTTCGACGACGGTGCACAAGCCTTTTTTCACTGGATCTCTTAGCTCATGATTTTATGTGAGTTTTGGTTGCTTAAATGTATGTCTGCATGTAGTATTTTTTTTTATGTTTCTGTAATGGAAATTCTCTGTAAGTCATCGGGAGCACTGATTCAGCGGTGTGGTACACGTTTTTCATATTTATTTTGAAATATTTCCAATTTTTTAAAAAAGATTTCCAGTTTTTTTTTTATGGTTTTTCAGTAAATTATATGAAAATATTTCAAAACTTTATGAAATGAAAACAAACAGGGTTTCATAAAGGCTTATTTTTCTAAGTAATTTACCCCAAAGTATTTGTGAGATGCAGATGAAAGGTTAATCACACTAAGTCAATCGTAGTCAGTCCCTTCCAGAAATCTTATTGTTACGAATTTTGTGTAATGGATGCTTAAAATAGTGTAAATAATTGATATCTGTGGATGTGCAATTCGTTAGTATTAATTTTACGCTAAAATTATAATACTCGCAAGCAATGCCGTTCTTTGTATTATAATCGCGATTCAATGGAAGTTTGGAAAATATTGACGATAGAGCCAAGTTGATATAATTTTGGAGTGACCCTGTTGACGACTTGGTGACTATATGGATGCTTCTGGAAATTACTGGAAAAATCTATTGATATCACTATCTATGACTTACGGCATAGGGGCGTACTATTGCCGTATCAGTGATACGGGACCCCAAATCTACAGGGGACCAACATGTTTAACTGCATTCCTACTAACAGGGTTCTCATATCTAAAAAAGGGCCCCGAAGGAATTTTGATACAGGGCCCTCTCAGAACTATTACGCCGGTGAAGTAAGCGGATTTTTCGAGAAGAACAAAGAGCCGTTTGCTGAAGTTGAGTGAGTATTGTTTTGATCAATGAAAATTCGATTAGTGATTAGTTGCTAGGATCGAGCGAGTGCTTGCGAATAATCTTTATCGTAACGTATTTGTACTTTTAGACACTGATAGTTGTGTCTGAGCGCTGTAGAAGGTGTGAAGACCTGGGATTTATATTTCGCAAATTTTGCTGCTATATCCTGTATTTCTAAGGATTGTTTTTTGACAATAAATTTCCACCGCTTTTAACCCCTTACTTCTCAGTCCCTTCAAAATCACGGGGTGAAATTTCCCTCTCTATTTCACGTGCCCGTGACATTTCCGGACTGGAGTGTTCAAAAGTAATGCGCTAAACAGATTAAAACTATATGTTTCTTATGTCCGGAATCGTGTTTATTTTTCACCAGATGGCAGTACCAGATTATTAGTAAAGTGTTTAGAGATAGTTACCTAAAATCCGGCGTATAGCGCGCACTGGTGTGTAACGCTCACCTATACTTTCAAGCTGATTTTTTTTTAATTTGTAGGTATATTTGCCCTATAACGCGCACCCCCCCCCTTTTTTTTTTACGAAGAAATCGAAACATTAGTATACATTGCTCTTATGATTTGAAGTCATTTATTCGAGGTATTATCCCAGACTTTTTGAAAAAAGTATACTTCTAGAACTACAACTCTTTGTGGTTCATAAGGTATGTCATTTCTTTTAAATAAACTGTAATTCGATATATATATAGAAGTACATTTTTTCTTTATGCTCATCTCTTTTGATATTTTTAAAGCTATCGTTTTTATACCCGGCGTTTCGATCTTATTTTTGGTGTTAAAAGTGCGCGTTATACGCTGGATTTTACGGTACTTTATTTTAAACTAGATGTTAGCACAATCAAACATATCTATATTAGCAATATGTTTTTGTAACCTCAGCTCACAGTTACTTAGTACCGCTCTTCGCGAATAGATGTGGGTTGCGTTCTGTGATAAAACATATAAATTGTTTAATATTGTATACATTATAGAGTTATTTTGGAAGTGAATCGGATTTTACTTTTAAGTATAAAGAGATCTGAGAGTGATTCTGAACTAACTGATTGTTCTGAAAGTTTGGTTAGTGAACCTGAGAGCAGTGATGATGGATTTGTACTGTTAATTGTGATATTAATCCTTTTATCTCATTCTTTGAAATTTATTTCAGAAGAAAAAATTACTAATGGGTTTTTAGATTGCGCAAGTCTAATAAAATTCTCTTTTATTGTTTAAAACATGTGTTTTTTAACTTTTTTTTCTCTTTGTTGAAAAATCAACATTCAGTCATAATAATCCTAAATGTGTTGGCTTTTCTTAAAAATTAATTTTTTGTATTTCAAGCTCAAAATTTACTAAAAATTTAAAAATAAATACATATACATTGAACATACATTTAGTTTTATATAATTTTCTTGAATAAAAAAATAGGCACTTTTATGACCCATTTTTCAAAATTATGCGACCGTTAATGGGTTAAAGAACTGTTTTTCTGATTGAGACAAATAGCATAAAATCCTCGAACCCCGATCTATGCAACAACATATATTTTTTTTTTTTTTTATGAAACATGAAGCTTTAAAATTTTAAACTTCTTTTCCACCTAATTCATCGCTCAGAGATAATTTTTTAACACACGAAAATCACAGAAATTCTTGACCAGATAACAGAACATTTGTAAATGATAAAATTTCCATGCTGCGGTTCTATGTGATGTAACTCTACTGACTCTTTTAATTTTACGATATAAATCCATATTGAAGAGATAGGCATTTGGACGTGATAACAAAAGACTTTATAAAAGATAAGCTAGAAGTCTACTTTAGTCTAAAGGGTCTAAGGGGAGTTGGAAACCTCTTTCTTTCTATAACGACAATGTTAAATTGGCTGTTTTCAATGTACCTTTTCTCACAATATGTTATATGTACATGCTTGAAATTTTTCATACAATGAAAGTACACCTTTCTCATTATACTGAAATGAGCTTTTAACTAATTTTGAATTTTTTAATAAATTATGAAATATTTTATCAAACTTTGCAAAATTTGACCCATTTTTCACTTAGAAAATTTGTAAAAAATAAATTTTTGAATTTTTACAAAAAAGCTCATTTTAGTATTTATTAGCCATCATTATAAATATATCATAAAAAATTTACATACCTGTGAACAGTAGTTTCTCAGAAAAGATACATCTAACATCAAAATTTACGTTTTGAAATAAATTGATTTTAATGTATTCATTGGGACTTCAATCGGCTAGGAAATAAAAAAAGGCCCAATTTATAATAAAAGATACATGTTTTTGTTTATATCAAACATTCAAATTTTAAGCAAAAACGAAGCACTTTGTTTACATTTTTCGCGCGCCATTCAAATGGGCGCGGCCCAGTTTCAACTAATATTTAAAAATAGGTTTTAAGGGCTTCTAAGTAAGTACTCTAGAGGTTAAAGTAAGATATTTTTAGAAAGGTTAAGATCTATACAATTTGAAAATGCAAAAATCTCAAATTGTCAAAAAAATCAGATTTTAACTTTCCAACACCCCTTAAAACTCGTGTCTCATAATATTAAAAAAAAATTAAGATAATTCCAACCTAGGTCAACAAATAAAATTTTTATTTTAGTTACTTATTATTAAATAATTCCAATTAATATAAACATGTATATACATATGACAGAATCACTTTCATTTGTTACTATTCATTTATTCATAAATCATATTCTCTGAAATTAGGCCATCCCAGGTAGGATTCGAACCCACAACCTTTGGATTAGAAGTCCAATTCCGTTTCCATTGCGTTACAGGGACAAAACGAGGGATTTTCCTTTTTATATACGGTATCGAACTATTATTTTTGTTTATTACTATTTATTCATTAATTAAGTTTAACTAAGGAATTAATATTTGAAAAAATAACTATCGTAACATTAAGTGTCATCCACTAAAAGTTTAAAACAATATATTTGAACTTGAATGGATGAATAGAAAATTTTTATTAGGCGATTGAAAATCTCAATAAGATATACTATATATATGTGGAGAGAATGAACTAATAGTAGGAATTGAAAAAAGAGAATTAGGGAACACACACATTTTGAACTTTTTTTTTTTTAATTTTCAGATATGTTGGAGATTTTTCTCTTTATTTATAATAATTCCATTTATATGCTGCCATCACCAGAAAGATGCGAGATTCATTATTTATCTATGTGTTTGATTTGTTTAAAATTCCTTCATTTTGTTACTAATATGAGATGGTTTGTAATATCCCAATAAGCGAGCTCCGCGATCGGTTTCGTCGGGGAGGAATGCGTTCGCGAATCGTGGTTAATAAGAAACATCGCTCGTGTACAGAGTATAATTGGGGACGTTGCACATTAAGCTCGGGTGGAACTCGAAGTCCACATGGGGTGTGGTAAGGAAATTAGAAGAAAGAAATACCGAACTCAAACTCTGAATAATGATTAATGAAGTGACTGCTGCATATGTGATCGAAATTTTAGCATGCAAATAAAAACAGAAATAAAAGTTTCCTTCCGCTGCGAATCTTCCTATTAAAATTGGATGGTAAAGGGCGTATCCTTGTAACTTTAAAACTATCGACGTTACCTTTTCTCCTGTACCGGATGAACAGGGTCGCAAGAAATAACAATATAATGGTGCGTAGTATCTTCATGTAGTTGAATTAAACATTAAACTTATTTACCGGATTTACCGTTTTTATTATATTTTTCTTCAAACAATATCACTATATTTACAACTCTATTTACAATTATAAATGACATAGGGAACTACAGGCATCTTCCTCCATTTTCACGTTCGAGACCACTTTCTTCTTCTCTCTTTCCAGCTCAATGGCCAAAACAGTTCACAGCAGCGCCCTCTTTCTAGTCTATCGTGTGCTATGTGTCAAGCCTCCTAGTGCGCTATGTTCCAAGCCTTTACAGGTGGAAACTGAAGGATCTCAAGTCAACCCTTTTTTTCCCCCTAAAATTCCAATTTGTTAAAAAAACACCAATTGAAAAATATGTTTTTGTCGTAACTAACTGACTGTACCAAGAGGCAGAAGTGCCTTCTAGCGACCACATATCTTTAATACAGGCTGGGGAATGCGATCGCTATAAGAAATCTGCAATGTTCTTTGCCTATTATTTTTGTTAAAGATATATGTTGTCTTTGTGCAACCTAACTTAAATTAATAAATAACTTGCATCTAAAGGAAATTTCATTGAATTCAACTCCGAGTTTACCACGTTTAAATTAATCTTACTCTATATATGTAATACCTGTACTTCCATTTTCGCTACAAAAATTCCTCTTTTTCCGCATTTTTTCCAGTTTATTGCCAAATTTTTATATTTTTAAAAGTGCACCGTGGCCATAAAATAAAAGGTTATGAAGGACTGTACTAGATAAATAAAGATTACTTCAAGCATTAACATTCAATTTACAATTATTCACACTATTTCAATTATAGTTTTTCCATTTTTCCTTGAGAAAAAAGGTTGGCTGATCTAGGTGTGGGCAGTGTTTCTCTTTCCGGGGTCGGTCTGTGTGTGTGGGAAAATTGTTCTGGTGTGCACAACTCTAGACAAACATTATATAATTCAAAACTAAATAATTCTTACTGAGATACTATAAAGAAGTTTTTGATGAAATATCTGTAAAGGAGAACACACACACACACACACATGATACAAAAAAGCAGTAAAAAAGTTATTCATTTGAAGAAAAAAAAAAGTTCAACAAAAAATATTCGAATCAGACTCTATTTTTTAAGTACTTTTTTTGTGTTGAGAAAATACTTTTCTGGCCGTTTTATTTGCATTCATTAATTCATTTATTGCGACTTGATTTTTTTTCCAAAATGCACATTCTGACTTTACTTAAAACACCACAATATTTAAAAAAAAATAATTTCTGTACTGAAATATTTTTAAAAGATATGCGTGATTTTCTTAAGAGTTATTTTTTAATAAGTTATTTAAAACCTGCAACCGTTTTTAACCGTTTCGAAAAAAGGACAAACATTCTTAAATACATCACCAACAGGAATTGAGGGGGTGATGTGATCTCTTTAGAACTACTTATTTGTCACTCATTTGGCTCATTCGATATTCCAATTTATTGCTGTACCTCAGACACCATCCTGAAAAAATTTGAACAACTTTAATTGTTTCTTGTATCTCATTACTGGATTGAAGCCAGTTATATATCCTTCAGAAATATTTCTCTTTCAGGTAAATTTTGCACTTTTTCAATATGCAGGGTGTTGCCGAATTCAACCGATGAATTCAGAGGGGTTGTAGTAAGCAGCATAGGGAAGACAAATCACCATAGATCTCACCATATAAACCTCGTTTATTGGTAAAAATCGTGATAATAGTAGCCATCGGTAGGACGATGAGCCAGACGAGGAGAGTGGCCAACGAATGCTTCGTGGTAAGGTTGAAGAAAACTACACGTAAACAAATTTTCCACTTCTCCCGGAGTTGCTGCCAAGAGTACAAGCCACTGCGTATCAGAACGTATGGCTCATGCATGATGATGCACCAGATCATTTTTCGATTGCGGTGCGTAACCACCTCCATGCTACATATCTCGAGAGGTGGACTAGAGGCAGAGAACTTGTTGCTTGGCCTCTGCAGACTTCTGGACCTTAATCCCTTGGAATTCTTCTGGGGCTACCTGAAATCGCTTGTGTATGTGACATTGGTGGCTTCAATGGAGGATCGCCCTACATAGATCGTTGTCGCTTTAGCTGACATCGCCACACATCGGATTTGTTTGAACGCGTCCGACAATTCTTCGTCCGTCGGTGTTAGTTGAGCTATGACCTACTTGGCAGCAACTTCAAACAATTCCATGTGAGAATCACTTGTCGTTAATTTCTGACGTCGTGCTGAGAGGCATTGTTCCTTTGTAAACATGCTTTACGTCTATTAAATGTATTTTTTACCTCTCATTGTCCCTTTCATTCCACTGAACATCACACCCTTCATAACTATTTTTGAGAATTACTCCGAGTAAACATGGTTTGCGACCCCATGTTCTGTGGTGTTTTGTCGTCCTCAATGTTGCTTACTATCACCCCTCTAAATTTATCGGTCGAATTCGGCTACAACCTGTAGAAGACAAATAAGATTAGTTAAATGCTACAATAAACTTTCTAGATTTGTCTACAAGACCTTTTGAGCATCTAAATCAGGGGTGTCAAACTCGTGGCCCATTACGTGGCCCATTTTTGTGGCCCGGCCAGTATATCGGCATACAATAATACATAGCAAAATATCAAAATTTCTCCCGAAATAGGAAAGATAGTAGCTGAGAAGATATATCAAGTGTCAGGACGTAAATATTAAATTATTATTAATTTTTTTTGTTCTTTTATTTATGTTTATTATAATGTATTGTTCGAAATAAAATTACGTTTCTATGAATATTGACACTTTTTGCGGCCCCCCTAAAGTTAAACCTTGGTGGTTTGGACCAAATTAGCTTTTAAGTTTGACACCCTTGATCTAAATAACTGGGGGACTTGATAAAAACATTAAAGGAAAACATCCCTATCAGTCATGTAAAATCTTAGTACTTACTTGGTGGGGCTGTAGAGCCCTACACACTACAATGTTGCTTAAATCCAAAGCAGAGACTCATCAGGATCCACTGTAACTATATTTCTCCTTTTATAAAGAAATACTTTGTCATATTCCCCCTTTAAGCAGTTAGCATTGGAAATCATGAACCACATTGATAATAATCCCATTAAGAGCAGTCAGTAGGGTAAAAACCTTTGGAAAATCGATTTTGAGTTTTTGATGTTTCTAAATCTCCAAATCAGGAACTTTCCAATGATATAACATACAAGCCATTATATGAATTAGAAGTATTTTAAAATGAATTTATAAAAATAATTAGCTGATGAACCACAGCCATTTTGGTAGACAGAATTGTAAACATTGTCTTTTTAAATGTGGGGAAAAGTTGCAAAGCCTCCATTTACTTTTATCCATACGCAATTAACTTTAGATAACTGTATAATAATTGCAAGCTAACTGTGTTAGGCATGCTAAAAATTTTTGGAACCAAATTTGGAAACGGGGTTTCGATAATTTGAATGTTATATTTAATATTTAATGATTTTACCTAAATTTAAGTGTATTCTTTACTATAAATTTAGTTTTAATTGTTATTATTACTGATTATTTAAACTCGCTAAGGCTTATTAAAGAGTTAAAAATATTTTAAAAATATTTGAAGTTAGAACTATGTGCTAATTTAAGAATTCTGCATAAAAAATATGGATTAAAAACTAGGATTAAAAAATCTTTAAAATATTTACTTTGAAAAGGTAAGATTTTTTTTAATAAAAATTTCTGTTATCTAAAATTTATATTTTTAAAATTGTGTAAATTGACTGTATGCATGTACTCTATGTTTCTCAAATGCAATTGTGTATACTGAAGAAACATTTTTGAAATATCCTTAAAACATTTAAATAGAAAGCAGTTATCATAACAAAAAATGACAATTTTCAATAAATTCATAATAATAATTGTTCGTGAACTAAAAGTTTGTCTTCGAAAAAACTAATTAATATATTTTTAAGAAATTCATTTCAGTATAAATATAAATGTCTATAAAATATAATAATATAATAAATTAATAAATATATAAATATAATAAATATAATTTATATAATAAATATAAATGTATAATTAATATACAATAAAAATTTTTGAGTGCTTATGTTTAATAGTTTCTGAGAAAAAGTTATGAGATGATACATCAAATGTGATGTTTGTTGT